ATGATGAAATGGTAGAAACAGAGGAGGAATAGATAGAGAGAAAGAAAAGATGGAGAGAAGAAAAATAATGAATAAATACAAAAATAGAAATTGAGAACAATAACCATAAAAAAGATAAAGAAAGATTGACATACGATAAGACCAGGGGGTTGAGGGTCGGCGGGGTTAGTGTTCAGGTTGAGGTCGTGTTGTGGAGGAGAGGGGAGTTGGGGCGTGGAGGGAGGATAGGAAAGGGCGGGAAGGGTGAAGACGGAGAGGTGGAGGGAAGGATATGAGAGGGAGGGAGAGGGATAGAAGAGGGCAGGAGAGGGGTAGGGAGGGATAGGAACGGGCGGGAGAGGGGGAGGGAGGGATAGGAGAGAGCCGGAGAGGGGTTAGGCCGAGTGCGGGGTGATGACCTGAGCGTTCACTTATACCCTTACTCTGTCGTCCGTTCAAGTTCAGTGCCTTTCGCCCTTCCGCCGCAGCAGTTATCGCCGGTTCGTAATGATCCTGTTAACGGGGTTTCGGGAGCACCGTTTAATTTGTTTTACGTGTCCGCTGGTCTGTGCAGGGCGCTGATGGGACAGGGGAGAGAAGGAGAGGGGAAGGCAAGGGGAGGTGGAGAGAGGGGGGAGGGAAGTGAGATGGGGGAGGAGAGAGGGAAAGGGTAAGGGGAGGAGGGGAAGGGAAGAGAAAGAGAGGACGGGGCAAGTGGGAATGGAGGGCACGGGGGAACGGAGGAGAGAGGGGAGGAGCGAGAGGGACGGGACAGCGGGAGGGAAGGGGGAGGGAATGAGAGGGCAGGGGAAGGGAGATGTGAGAGGGCATGGAGTTTGGGGGAAGGGAGGAGAGGGCGACAAGGGAGGAGGCAAGGGAAGAAGGGCGGGCCGGTAGGGAGGGGTGAGGGACACGGGGCGAGGGGAAGGAGAGGGCGGGAGACACTGGGTGAGAGATGGGGGCGAAGGAGGATGCATGGAGCGTCTGAGAGAATCGCTCGCGGCTCCGATCCAGTTGCGATCGCTAATTCCCACTAGTTTTCGCCCGGCCTGATGAGCTTTCGATTGTCGGACGGATTAGTGCAGTCTCCCATTCTATTTGTGTATTATTTCCCATCGTATTGATTGACGGCAGAGAAATGGTGTCCGCTGTTATGGGGCAGTTGAAGCGGCCGATCACTCTCCCCGGTTGTGATTGAGTCTGAATGAAAGATGCAATAAACGCATTTTTTTCTGGTTCATTTCTGTGCCTATTGATTTTTTTTACCCTTGGTTCTCTTTTTAATAAAAGCCTTTTGTCAATAGTGAATAGAGTGTATTGATTAACGAGAAGAATCGGGGCAGAGAAAGCCATATCACCGCGAGCGTACAAACTTGTACTTATATTTTTTTCTTCGTTTTGATTTGTAATTTGTTCTATATATTAGCGCTCTTGTATCTGTGGGTTCTATTTACCCGCGCTTCCCCCGAAAGACTTAGTGCAGCGGTGTCCTTTGAAGCCGAATCATAGCGGCCCGTTGTCCCGAAAGGAAGGCCTCCTAGGATTAAGAGGATGAGCAGTAGGACGCTACGGTCGGGCGGCTGATGCTATGGCTGGAAATACACGCAGATGGGCCACATTTAGCGCCACGGTTCGCGGTTCTACGGTGAACCAATCCACACGTCAACGGTATTTTTAGCACTACGACCCCTGTTTGTCACGGCGTTTTTCTATGTTTACACTTTTGCGGGAGAATGACTCTGTTTTACGGCATTCACCCGCGATGACTAGTCTCTTGGTATTATGCAGATGACTTATTTACACAGCAAGATCAGACCCTTTTGTTGTCATGTCTGAGATGTGTTTTATACTCTCGAAGAATGTTTTATTTTTTTTTTTTTTTATTTTTTTTAAATGGAGGAAGCTAGGCATTGTTACTTGCGCTGGCTTGTTGAAATGGCTCTGTAGAAGTTTGTTTCCGTTTAATCATGCATTGTGGTTCCCCGCGCGCGCTGCATCGTACAGGGGCGCAGACGGTTTCGTCATCGTTGTTGTTGCAGCTTGATGTTGCTTAGTCGAATTAGATCTTCCTCTTCTTCACTGTCGCTATACTCATCACAACCCCTATTGATCACCAACCCCACCCCATCACTATCATCACAAAGGCAATGGGTAAACAGCCTGATCCAGTGAGTAATAAGGCTCTCTTATACACTTCCTACCGGGCTGTGACATGGTAGGGGGCGCTGAAACAAGCTAATGTTATTTTAGATGCTTTTATACCTAATGGTCTTATATATGCTGGAGCGATGCGCCGATAATTTGATAGCCTTTGTTGCTACAGGATGCGACGCACGCGGATGCCTAGATCTCCTGCGTGGCACTTAGAGATTATATCCAAGGATGTCATGGGTATCCACTGCTGATCGTTAGTATATCCTTGTTAAAATACGGGATTGATTTGTCAGATGGTATTGTATTTGCTTGTTTTATTGGTTCGTTTCCAGCGTATATGTATGCATGTCGAAATAGGCCGAAAACACACACACACACACACGGACACGCACATGCAAACACGCACACGCGCGCGCATACCTCCCACACACACGTATGTTTCGTCTGCTATTTCGGAGGCCTTGTTCGTTTTCCTTCCCTCACTGACCAGTGTTCACAAGACAAGATCCCAGTCATGCCAAACATTCCAACGAACGCCTTCCATGCCAGCGTTATCAGTTCAACGCGCTTACCACTCAAGTGTCACGTGTCACCTGTCACCGCGTCTTCGCCTTGACAGTGTCTGTAGTAGTATGTACTGATGTGAGAAGGTGCTGCCGTGCTTGTCTGCGTGCTTGTTTTGGTATTTACATATATTTACATATATTCTTTCTTGAGTCCACAGGTAAAGCATATGGTTGCATGTCTTCTATTCTTTCAATAGTAACCCTTATTGGGGTAATTAAATGCCGATAATCAGTTAATTTACGATTTATAACCGTCGCTGATTGCACGGACTTGGTCTATTTTGGATCTTTGCTAGACATTAGATTTAGGAGCGATTTTTTTTTAATTTCAGATTTTGATGGTTTGTAATCCTTTCAGCAAGTGTAGCTGCCAGTCCTAATCTTCATCACTCACTACAACTGTCAGCCTCTCCGTCAGTCACGATAACAGTCACATTTAAATAATTTCAGGTGTCATTAACTAACCTTCTGTTGTAGCTGACATGCTCTGGCTTTCAACCCCAAGCTTTTAAAACAGTATTAGGCGTTTCTTTGCGAAAGATGACTGAAATATTCATGAAAATAGTTTGTTCTACTGTTAATGTAGATGCACACAGTACTGTTACTTAATATGATAACAGTACTATCGTTTCTAATACTAACACTCAGCCCACTATTACTTCTATTACTACTAGTTCTCTGTCAGTACAAGGTAACAATAGGAACAACAACTACCATTACTCTACTACTACTATACAACTACTACTTCTGAAACCAAAAAACAATATCATAACGATACTGACCTATGATTACGATGATAGAATAATAATAGTAGCAATACTATAAATAAACCATGACCTTTTCAAACACTATCTTTTATTGCCTGGTCATTTGGCAGTTGTCCTTGTAGCAGGTATGTAGGGTGGAGACTAAGGCGTCTAGTGGACTCTGCTGTAGCGCATACTTTGGGGATGACTGGTTCGCTTATGGTAAAACGGCGGAACTGACTTTCTCTGTTTTAGGTTTTTGCGCTTATTATTATTATTATTATTATTATTATTATTATTATTATTATTATTATTATTATGCTATGATCTTCGGGCCTTCCGTATCGCTTCTCTCTATTCTTTTCCACATATCCTCTTTCTTGTCCTTTTCTTCATCCTCGACCTCCACCTCCTTCCTCCTCTCCTCCTCCTCCTCCTCCTCCTCCTCCTCCCCTCCTCCCCTCCCACCTCTCCTCCTCCCTCTACCCCTTTCTTCTCCTACTCCTCCATCTTCTCCCTTTATCGCTCCCCCTCCTCCTCCCCCGCATCCACCTCCTCCCTCTCCCTCTCACCTTCATTCCCTCTCCTCCTCCTCCTCCCCTTATCTCTCCCCATCATACTCCCCCCCCTCTCACTCCCCCGCGTCCTCCTCCTCCTTCTTTCTTTCCCCTCCTCTTCCTCCCTCCTCTCCCCCTCATCTTCCTTCCTTCTCCTCCTCCTACTCCCGTTATCTCTCCCTTATCATAATCTTCCCCCTCCCACTCCCCCGCATCCTCCTCCTCCTCTTCTTTCTTTCTCCTCCTTCCTCCCTCCCTCTCCCCCTCATCTTCCTTCCCTCTCCTCCTCCTCCCGTTATCTCTCCCCCATATACTCCTCCCCCTTCCCACTCCCCCCATCCTCCTCCTCTTCTTCTTTCTCCTCCTCCTCTCTTCCTCTCTCCCTCTCCCCTCATCTTCCTTCCCTCTCCTCGTCCTCCCGTTATCTCTCCCCCATCATACTCCTCCCCTTCCCACTCCCCCGCATCCTCTCCTCCTCATCTTCCTTTCTCCTCCTTCTCCTTCTTCTCCTCCTCCTCCTCCTTTCCCCCCTCCCCCTCGTGTAATAGCCCGTGCGTGGCCAGCGGTTGGTATGCAGGCACACACCTCCAGCGGCCAAGATCAACTCTAATTCCTCTCTAATCATTTCTAATTCTTCCACGCATGTTGTCATCGGTCCGGCCAGCATCACTGCCCCCTCCCCCCTGTTGTCAGCTCTTCCACCACCTCTGCCAACCCTGTTATTATTGGCATTTCCACTAGCATCGTCTCAGGCGCCTGAATAACAGTAGTATTAGTCGTGTTTGTGTTCTCTCTCTTTTTTTCCTATTTCTTTTTATCATTTTTTTCGATCTCGGTTGTCTTTCTTGCTTTTCCACTTTTTATTCTCCATTTCAAATCTCCCTCTCCTTCTCTTCCTGCTTTCTCCTGCACTATCGTCATCTTCCTACGTTTCCAACTATCCCCTCCCTCCCTCCCTCCCTCGTTCCTCCTCCTCCTCCTCTTCTACCTCCTCCCTCCAAGCCCGCACCCCACCTCCCAATGCCACCACGGGGGAGTGGGGAGAGGGTAGAGAAGATGGGGGATGGGGGGAAGGGTGTGAGTGTGTGTCTGATGCCCCAGCCAGCCAGGCAGTTGTGGTCTACCCAGTGGTCTGAGCGCAAGGATCTGTACAGCCCCGTTGGAGACCGAGGAGCGTTGCATCCACCCCTATGTACTGTGTGGTCCGTGATCCTTGTGCTGTTAGTGCGGTCATGGTGGGGTTAGTGTAGTGGTTGTAGTGGCGTAGTGGTTGTAGTGGGTGTAGTGACGAAGCGTAGCGATGTGTGTAGCCTTTAGTTTTGGCTGAGCTTTTTGGTTATCGGCGGAGGCACTTGGTGGACTGGGGTCGACGCCGATTGGTCCGAATTCAAACAAGTCTGATTGATTTCGTGTTTTTCTTTAATGTTTCTTATCATTTCTTTGAGTTGAGTGATTTGGTGTTGATTTAATGCTTTCTTTTTCTTTTCTTTTTCGCGTTTTAACAGAGCGCATGACGCTGAGAAACTCTATTCACAAAGTGTGGACAAAAGGCACCCAAGATGGACCACTGTTGCAATAGACAGCGCTAGCTAACAAGCTCACTGCAACATAATGCAATCTGTTACAGTGTGAGGAAGTGGCCAGTGGTTGGCAAGGGCAGCGTGCCTCTTGCAGCTGTTTGATTCTCTTTGCGACTGAATGATGCTACTAAAACACAAGTCTAGTGTGCGCAGTCGCTCGCTCGAAGTGCGTGGGAGAGAAATACTTGCGACTTTGACGAGGGACTTTGTTCGAATGTGAATGGGTGGTTGTGGTAGTCGTAGTAACAGTTGAAATCCGGTGAAGAAAGGCTATTTTGATAAGATGACTCGAGATAAAGATAATTATAGTAATAGTAATTATAGTAAGATAACGATAATAATGGCAGAACAAAAAAAAAAAAAAAAAATAGAAATAAAAATCAGTACGAGTAAAAAAAACGGCAATTAGAAATACACCATATAACGGATTAAAAAAATAAAAAATACATAGCGAACGAAAGATCCAAAGGCTACAGGGTAAATGACACTTGAGAACGATTTCGACTGGCTGAACGGCGCCCGTATGTTGTATCGCCGGCCTGAAGCGCAATATGTGGGATACAGGAACACGTGTCCAGGGTATAGTCGCCTGGCTGATACCATCTTCGTGGGAATGTTACCAATGCTAGTGAAGACACGTCACTAGCTGTTCCCTCTCGCAAATGACCCCGTGTTACGCTTAGATGGGGTGTATGTTGTGTGTGTGTGTGTTTTTTATGGGTTTCGTGTCTGTTTGTGTGTGTGTGTCTTTCTTAGGGTGTTTTTTTATGTTGTGTATACGTGTGTGTGTGTGTGTGTGTGTGTGTGTGTGAGTGAGAGAGAGAGAGAGAGAGAGAGAGAGAGAGAAGAGAGAGATAGAGAGAGAGAGATGATGTATGTGTGTGTGTGTGTGTGTGTATCTGTGAGTCTGTGAGCGTGTGTGTGTGTGTGTGGTGTGGTTGTGTGTGTGTGTGTTGTTTTACGTCCCCACTTTTATTTCGCCATTGAATTTGATACCCATTCCTTTGCTTCTTTACTTCTCCCTCGATCAGGACCCCCGTCCGCTCGGTCGCATTTACTATCTCGCCCAAAGACTTATCTGATTGCTCGTTGACCTTCTTCGTCGTTAAGTTTCCTTGTTGCTTCGTGCTTGTTCCTCTCTTTTATTCTCCGCTTCGCTTTGTCTCGCTTTCGGATTGTACGCGTGACTGTCGGTCTTTCATTTGTTTGTGTATTTTTATGAGGGTTTGTTTGTCTCTGTCTGTCTGTCTATTTCTTTCTCCCTCTCTCCCTCCCTCTTCCTCTCCCTCCTTTCTCTCTCTCTCTCTCTCTCTCTTCCTCTCCCTCTGCCTCTCTCCCCCTCCTTCCCTCTCTCTCTCTCTCCCTCTCATCCTTTCTCTTACTCGTGTTTCTCTTTCTTCTCTCGGGGTGATGACGCGATACCGAGAGTTGGGTTACTGGGTCATCATCGTTTTTTGTCCTGTTTATTATGTGCATTTTCAGAATTCTTCTCTCTTCCTCTCCTTTTTCTCACCCCATTTTTTTCAGTGTCTATCTGTCTCTGTCATCTTCACTTGATGTTTTTGGTCTGTCTAGTCTTATTCCTCTATTAAGCTTGTTTATTTATCCCTTTCTTTTGTTTGTTTTGTTAATTTAGGATGATATTTCGTTTCTGTGTTGTTTATTCATTTATTTGAATTTATGTATCTAACTTATAACTTTTCTTCCGTCCTTTTTTCTTAATTCTTCTATCCATTCTTCTGTGTTTTGCTTCTGCCGTTTTTTTCATGTTTTCCTTTGTTCATTTATTTCTTCTGTTTCTTCCTCTTTCCCCTTCTCCCTCTTTTTATAGGGAGGAATATAGAACAGTGGTAAGTGAAGATAAAGTGAAGAGGGGAGACAGGAAGACAACGATGACAGGGAAGAAGTGAAAAAGTAG